TTATATTGTTCCAGCCAGTTGACAATAACAGTCTCTTCAAGTTGCTTTACAGAGGGGGAAATAATTATTTCAACCTCTGCTGAAATTGAAAGTTTCTTTCATCATCCATGAGGAATCAGAATCTGTGAGGATGCCACTCCATTCCAACCTATACATTTTCATTTTAAGGTTATATTTAGGCACTGGCGTATCTTTGTTATAGTGAGTCTGGTTCATCATTGGGTTTAAAGCAGAACTTGATGTGAAGCCACTAAACTCAAAATTTTGGCTGTAGTATCATATAAGCTATTACGAATTTCACCTTGTTTCCACAGCATAACTGCACCCACGTCAAGTCCTTCCTAAGCCACCGTTTGGGTCTGTACATCACCAATGTGACACGGGCAGCAGAAATCTGCAGTGAATTCCTGTGCCAGAGTAATGGCCGCTGCATCCGCCGGGACCCCCACGCCCGGCATTACCTCCACCTGAGTGCTGACAGTTACCGTATCCATCCCTCTGAGGATGGGGACTTTACTGTGAATGGCTGGCATTCACCGCATGAACAGCAGCTACTAATGGAGAGGTTTCGCTGCCACTGCTATGAGGGCCACAATGGTGAGAACTGCGACAGCATCAACAAAGTAAGAGAAGATAAAGGGCCATGGGAGGAAGAGGAGGAGTACGAAGATCATGACAAGAAGAGGACAGAGTGGGAGGATGAACAGGATGAACAGCAGGAGGCAGGAGAGAGTGCAGCACCGCCAACTTGCGTCAACCATCACTTAACTTTGTTGCTCCTGTTGAATGTATTATTAGTAAAGATATATGTTTGAAGATGGCTTCAAAAGAGAAAGTTAGTTTCAATTTAGCTGCGGGTAGATGTGACATGTCAACGCTGCAGTAAATATAATGTTCAAATTCAAAATTATTTTTTTATTTTATCCAAGGATACTGACATAAACTTGACTTTATGCACCATAAAGCTAATTGCAGTAATAGGAACGTCTCGCTGGTGCTGTTTGATAAATGTGCTATAAACAGTTGCAAAATACCACCTGAAATACAATACATACAGAAAACATGTCTCATGAAAACACTTTACCCAATCAGAAAATGATTGCCTGTTAGACATTATTTGTGGCCTAAATCAGCAGTGTACCCATTGAAACAGAAGGAAAAATGGAATTGCACAGCCAATATACATGCTTGAATTTATTCACTGTAACTTATATTGCAGAGAAATCATGTGAAATGCCTTATGGTTCATGAAAAAAGGCAGAGCTGGCTTGTCGCATGATGATCCTCCGTTTTGCTTTGTCCACAAAAACCAAAGGCTGCTCAAAATACAATACTGCACATCCATATATAGGAGCACAATTACAAAGACTTGATGCATTTTTAAAGACATCCTTTATTTCCAAAACCTTGAATGAACTGTTACTATACTTTGCGGTATATGTACAAATGTATATTTTTGTATTGTTACTTATTACTTGTAGTTTTTCCAGGAAATGTCACAAACCGTTTTGGAGCCTGTTAGGATGCAGCATATAGCTGCTTTTAACTTCAGAATACATTCTGTTGGGTTTGTTACCCTAAAGAACAGAAAGACTTTTTATATTATTGATCTCTGGATTTTGTATTTGATTCTACTTCATCTCAGTGTGACTGGTAAACGGCTACTGTCTCTGAATGTACAACTGAAAGTGCAAGGAAGCACTCAACTGGATGCAGGAGATCGCACAAACTATATCTGACAGACACAGCCTCTGGAAACTGAGGTCCTTTAATTTCACCTTTTTACCAAAGTTTACCAGTTTTTTGATACCTCAGGTTCTCTTGAAACTCTTTATTCAGTCTCTCTCTCTCTCAGTGTGTCCCAATGTGCTTTTCTCTGGATAATTCCAAGTATAAAGCATACTTATAACTACGATGCCAAAGTTGACAAAGCAAAGTTGTCATATCTATTCACCATTTGTCATTTTAGAACCAGCCTCCATCAGCAAATACTGTTTGTTCAGTAATAAAACTGTGGATGGTCTAACTTTCATTAATGTATTAGGAATTTATTGATTTTACCAATCATAACACAATGTAAGAAAATCTTCTAATTCAGTATCCTTGTTCCTAACAAAAACAGTTTAAAGTCATTAGATAATAAAATTCAGTCTTGTTACTTTTTCTAAATAAAATCAATCCCCTAAAGTTTGCTTTACATTCAGATTGAACAAACAGTATTGAGTATTTGTAATGACACTAACCTGAAACATTACCTTTGGAGAAGTTGGCAGTTTGTTGCAGTTTAAATAGCTGATGAAAAGGCAGCCTATGTTGCTTATGTAGTCAAAGAGACAGAAGAAAACAGGGGTAGAAGGGGTAACCAATAAATTTTAGTATTTAACATTAAGTAACAATGAAGCGCGTCACATGGACGGCTCAAGCCTGCCTTTAGGTTAATGTTTTTAGGCTTTTACTTCAGACTTTGTGTAGCAATTGTAAATTTCCTGTAGTCACTGTATTCTTTATTAAATCTTAAGATTGTAAACGACATATGTAACAAGGAGTATGCAACACATGAAAAATGTTACCTGATTGTAAATGCACTGCTAATAAACACTTTCCAAAGCTACAGTGTGTTTCTTCCTTTTCCTGCCATTATTAATAAAGTGATGAGTTCAGGGGAAGTAACAAAGAAACATCTTCCGCTTAGTGAGTTGAGTTGCAGCCAACTGGATCATCTACTGATCCAGATCAGATTGGATATGAATCTGATGGAGCACATTCACATTCAGTTGACATTATTTATCTTTGTCTTTATATTAGGTTTTCAAACAATGAAAAAACTGTGTCTTGAAAAATGTTGACTACCTTTTCTACAGTCATTAAACCGCAGACCCAGTTAGTGAGAAAAAGGAACAGAAGGCTGAACTAATGATAATGATGAGTCACTGGTGTGAGATGACTGCCCTGGCAAGAATAAGAGACAAACTCTAAAGAACAAAGAAAATGTTTAGGAATATTTAGTAATAAGTAATAATAAGTATGCAAATATGTTTTTATACAGAAAAGTTTTGACTATAAATAACATTAATTTATGTTGTCAAAACACTGAAGACCTTAAGTAACTAAAATACTATATGCACTACAATCTCCTGATTTACAAATGAAATTGACACAAAGCTAAAGCATGAAAAACATGTTGCCATCATCGTGTCATTTTTGTGATAAATCAGTACAAACCAGAAATATTATACATGAACCAGGCTGTTGTTGTTATTTTAACTTTTGTTGTTTATTTTTTAACTTTCGTTACCATTCTGTTTTTCATGCACTCTGAGTTTTATTTTCATCTTGCAAATATGCAACTTTTAAAAAACCTTTTTCACTAAATTATCTTACTGTTGATTGTATTTGTCCAAAACTGTTTCCAAATTCTTTGCATCATTTATTCTAAACCACTCACCAGTTAGTATTTTAATTAGATAAGGATCTACCAGAGAGAAGAAACTGTTTCCTCTGACATATGAAACAGCAAAAAAAATTACTTGAGAAACACTGAAGTATTATGACAAGCCACTGAAGACAGCAACAGGTAGGAGCTAAAACACTAGATTATATCCAAAAAATGTTGACTGATTTGAAAAGAATAGTGAGATAACCTAGTAAGATAAAGGATATTATTAAAAAGATTTGATCTTTTTAAAATGTGGACAATTTGTTTACAGATATGCTGCGAAATCCTTAAGTCATTTTTAATTTTATATTGATTTACCAGGATGAGCAAAAAGGACATCAAAAACAGAATGTAGTTAACATATGTATTCACATTCACAAGGGCTCTATCTGAACACCAAATATGAAGGAAGGTTTTACAAATATCTTTATTTTATATCAGTATTTAGCACTTTTATCATTCCAAATCCATTGTAAATGACTATTTTGCTGGTTACAAATAGTATCGTCCACAAACCAAAAGTTAATTTTGTCAGTATAAATGGTTATTGATCAAGAGGAAAAAGAACTGCAAAAGCCAAATCTATTTTGTTGTTGTTCCTGGTTAGAGATCAGTAAGTCACACTAAAATTAAATAAACCATATTTTTAAAATATTTTTTAGAATGTGTATTAATGGCATTTTGAGTCATGACTTGATAACATGTTCAGTTCTCCTACACAATATCATTTTTAAAATGATATGCTGTTTAAAATTTGTCATAAATATGAATTTTTTTTTTAATATATAATGAAATAAAAGTTTATGGCATGAACATATGAAATTGTTAGGGACTACAATTAGTCTGTTTTCATAAATTTTCCCCTACAGATGATAATTAGGCAAGTGAACTTGAACTCTGAACACTCAGGGAGTGTCCTTACACTACTCTAGGTGAATAGAGCAGATTGTTCAGCCACTGGGTGAACTTGGAGATTTGGTTCATCATTCCAAGCAGTTATGTGTATGTTCTAGCAGCTAAAATTGTCTAATGTTACCTGTTTTGCTGATAATGATCATTTACATAAATTGGGGCCACTGCTGACATTTTAAGCTCTGAGCACAGAGCATGCACGTAGCAGAGCTATGTCGTATTTATCTTCCTCTTTCTCTTTCACACACACATAAAATAATAATGGAGGAAGTATCTTACATTCTAACTGCAGAAACAGCTTTGTGTCCTGTTATATTCATATTATAAAAGTAGTATTTAACTTTTGCAGCTTCAAGTGGAGCTCTTTCAGAACTATTTTGTATCCACTGATGATCTAATAGCATCTAATAACTGTTTTCTCCATTAATTGTTTGAGATGTAAAAATTATGAAAAGTCATCTTTCACTGAGAGTCATATTTCAAATAACTTGAAATCAAAAGTGATCAAAAGTGCCCACTTTTAGCCCATCTTAAGAAGACGGAGTTTGGTTATTTTAAAGAGAAAACAGAGTTTGTCAAAAATAGCTACGATTTATGTTGATGTTTGCTGACTTTTATCCACTGTCTGCCCTGCTTGTCCAGACCTATTACCATGGCCCCATCCTTCTTCTCCTCTGTTGGCTTCTGTGTAATTGGATCTATCACCTTAGCCCTTGCCCTACCTCCAACTGAGCCACCGCTCATCAATAACCATCCCTTTGTGGCTATATGGAACGCGCCAGTCGAGCACTGTAAACGTCTTCACATCCCGTTGGACACTGCAGCCTTCCAGTCAGTGACGACACCCGCAGCTGTGCCAGGCCAGTTTCTCACCACCTTCTATGAGGACCGCCTTGGCCTTTACCCTAGAGCTGATTCTGTCAAGCATAAGCTCTACAGCGGTGGGGTCCCCCAAAATGGCAACCTGACAGAGCACCTGGCCAGAGCCCAAAAACAAATAGATCACTACATCTCCCAGGATTCTTCTCCTGGGCTGGCTGTCATTGACTGGGAATCCTGGCGCCCCCTGTGGGACCAGAACTGGGGTTCAAAACGCATTTATCAGAAATTATCCATCAGTCGTACCCTGCAGATGCTCCCGTTCTTATCATTAAAGCAAATTCTTAAACTGGCAAAGAAACAGTTCCAGCGGGCTGGACGTCACTTCATGGAAAAAACCATTAGCCTTGGTACTGGTGAGCGTCCAAACCACCGATGGGGCTTCTACCTGTTTCCTGATTGCTACAACTATGGATGGAACAAGCTTGGCTACACGGGAGAGTGCTCCCACAAGACCCACAAGCAGAACAACCAGATGCTTTGGTTGTGGGAACGCAGCACAGCTCTCTTCCCATCAGTCTACCTTCACCAGAATCTGAGGAACTCTCCCCGGGCTGCGCTCTTTGTTCGTAACCGTGTTCTTGAGGCTCTGAGGGTGGCAGCATTGCCTAAACGTCCTTACGTTATGCCAGTCTATGTCTATTGCAGGCCACTGTACCGGGATCAGACCAAAAAGTTTCAGACCAGGGTGAGTGTTTGTGTTAAAATCACATTTATGCATATTATTCACTTCATCTTTATGATTACAATAAACAGCCCATCACATGAGGGTTTTGTCATTTGAACCTAAATAGTTATTAAATTTCTCATGTAAGAGCAAAAAGCATTAACAAGAACACAACAGAAAAAAAACTCAACAAATGAAGAATTATTTTTTAAAAACTTTTGAAAACAACATAAAAACATCAATTAATACTGCTCGGAAAGGAGAATGAAGGACTCAATTTAGAACTCTAATGTGATAAAGGTTTGGAGTTCATTCACTTTGAACAGTTTGTAGTACCTTATATCAACTCTACCAAGGTTTATCTATAGGTTTTCCATACTGGATTCTAAAAGATCTGAATGAGAGAGAAGCTGTGGGGTGTTTTGGGGCCTTGATGGTAGGGCATTAAAAATGTGATTATTTGACTGAAATAACTTCTTCTTCTTGAAGAAATTACTTTGAGCCTTTTTATGTAAAAAAAAAAAAAAGAAGTTTCGTTCTTGCTCTTTCAGAGAGATCTAATCAGCACGATCGGAGAGTCTGCAGCACTTGGAGCTTCTGGGGTCATAATATGGGGAGGTTCCAGAGACTACAACAACAAGGTAATTCACAGCTTACTGATATTTACTGGATGTTTTGATCAGATCTCCTGTCATTAAAGGATATTCTAACTCGACACAATATTGACACGTCAGCATTAAAAATCTACCAGCTGAGCAATGTGATTCCTTCGCAACATTGCAAATCCAGTGTTTGTTTGTTTCGTGAGAAGAGAAAAGACTTCAAGTATCACACGAGCCACCCGAAGACAGGAACACAACTGGCCAGCCTTGCATCAACAAATAATTAACATGCCTTTGTTTCCCCTCTTAAGAGGAACTAACAGTTGTGACTGTTTATCTGTGTTTACCAGACATGTGAAAGAGGTATTGCAGCTTCATTTGCTGCAGCTGCTTTTTGATTTGGTATATCTTTTTCTCGTCATTTGATGTTCACACAATCACAATATCTTATTGTCTTACAACCAATTTAAAGTGGCACAACTGAATGCAAATTCTAATTAAGAATAAAACAGACCATTTAGATGGTCTTACTGCCACTATCCATGTTCTCAGTCCAGTTCCTCCTTTGGACACAAACATTCATTAAGCAATATGTTTTATTTGGACTTTAATTACCCCAATAAAATATTTTTGCTGACATTCATCTTGAAGTTCTAAGATTTTTTTTGTACATACTTTTTGAACACCTGAACCTCTCACATAAACTCCATCCTGTCTTTGCAGGCGTCCTGTGATGCTCTGTCCAAGTACCTGAGATCCACATTGAACCCTTACATTGCTAATGTGACTGCAGCTGCCAAGCTCTGCAGCGAAGTCTTGTGTCAGGGGAAGGGCCGCTGTGTCCGGAAGAGCAACAACTCTCGCCACTACCTGCACCTAAACCCCACCCATTTCCACATCATACGAGCTGATAGGAAGTATGCGGCTATTGGCCTCCCTTCTGCTGATGACCTCAGTGCCTGGGCTGAAAACTTTACCTGTCAGTGCTATGCACGGCGGAACTGTTCTCCCAAACTAGTACACCCAACCACCATGAAACTCATTTGGATTTAATGTGTGAGGAAAGTAGAATTCTTTCATGTGATTATCTATCATTCATCTATTTTCCAAAAACAGAAAGGAATGTAAGTAAATGATTCCCTCAAAACATAGTGCTATTAATACTAATAACAACAACATCAACAACAATAATAATAATTGTTAAGACAAGCTATACTTTAAACTTCAGTTTTAACTATTTAAAAGTAAATGTGCCTTAATTAAACTAAACTCAGCTCAACTAAACTGAATTTTGAAAAATATACCTTAACCTAAAGTTGAGTAGATGAAGCTTCTGTCTGTTACATTACAAAGACACTATTTGGAAAGACATTTGTAAACATTACCTGTGTTGTAAACATCTGAGCACAACTGTCAGTCATTTTTTATGAATTTAAATAGGCCAGTCATATAGGTTTGAACTTTGAATCTGGCCCAGATTCATCCATCAGTGTATAACTGGGTGAATGAGGCCTGTAGTGAAAATTGCTTTGAGTGATCAGTTAGAATAGAAAAAGTGCCTCTTCTGATGCTTTGTTTGAACTTTAGCAGGTCATCTTCACCATGGCTACACACCTAAATTCAGTTGCTGGCCTAATTGGCCAATGACACATTAACAGTATGGGGTGGTTCAACAGATGTAGCTAATGAAGTGGCCGCTGAGTGTATGAATCAACAAATAATAATAAATAATACAAAAAAATGGAGACGTTTCCTTAATAAATGACATGAGCAGAGCAACAACAATACAAATACATACAAATATACATTCATGTCCTCAGAACAGTGACATCATTCTTCTATAGCATCTTATTCATGTGCTTGTAAATCAGAATGATTTGATGAATGAAATAAACACGAGTGTCACAAAGAGAATGAGTGTGTTTTGTGTTTGATAGATCTTTTTAAGTATATAGCTACTTTACCAGGTTTATTAACGGCATTAAAAGTAACATTTTCTAAGCCACATTATGAAAAAAACAACTAATGGTGACAACCTACAAAAATGATTTGCAACACATAAATTTGCACCATAATCCTAACTTTCCCATGACTGACCAAATATGTTATTTTTTTCATACTCCTTAAAAAGTGTTTAAAGTTCTCCAGGCTTTCTGAAGGTCTTTAAAGGTTTTCCTTGGACACTGACTCCTTATTCAGTGATTTTCAGTCTAGTCCTTGTGCCTGGCCCTTTTTAAAGGAAGCAACAGTGGTGTACAAAATACAAGAAAAATAAAAAAACAAAACAAAATATAAGAAATAAAGAAATATGAGAATTATAACTTAGCTAAGAACTCCTTTTAAAATTTATATGTAGCCCCATTATATGTTGTAAAAACATTTTATTTTAATTTATTTTAATTTATTCCCATTTTAATGTATGAAAAATGTACAACAGATGGACAGGATCTAAATTTAGATGACTTGACTTTTAAAAGTCATGTCCTTAAGAAAAAAGGAAAATCCAGCAAGAATTTAGGAGATGTTTCTGGCTCTTCAGTTGATCGATCCATAGTTAAAGCTTCATCAGAAATGTCACAGTTCATGGGTGGTTATCAGGAGGCCATTCTTAACAAAGGGAAATGGGAATAAAAGGCCAAATTAGACAACAACCAAATTTGTAATGTTTGCTAAACATTATTGTCAATAAGTAAGTAGGAGGTCGAAAGAGAGGTTAAACAGTGAGTGTCTACAGCCATCTGTAAAACACACAGGAGGCTCTGTTGTGCTTTGAGGCTGCATTTCAGCTAGTGATGTTGGATTAATGATGTTGGACTTTACTTAATCCAGAAAAGTAAAGTCAGATTTTGGAAAGACTGCGATTTGAAACAGCTTCCATAGTCCCTGCGCCTGCCCGGTCAGCCCTGCGGCTACAAATATTTTGGTTTGGCTTTTGCTTTCTCGCGCGTGGTACTATCGCCCTGCCATGTTGGGCTCTCGCCTTCACCCACACACCTGCAGTTAATCACCCACCTGTGATTCATCACTTCTTCTTCTTCTTTCTTACATTTGTATTGGCGGTTGGCAAACAATTGAAAGGTGCATTACCGCCACCAACTGGTATGGAGTATGGTCTGGAATGACGCTCAAATAAATAAATGAATAAATGAATAAATAAAAAAAAAAAATATTTCCTCAAATCCTTCCAAACAGGTTCCCCACTTTTAAAAACTGAAATAAGGCCTGATAACTTTTACTTCCCAATTCCTTTTGCAACAAATCAACAAGATCCAGTTCGATTTTTAGGTTACTGAGATTTTGAGTGATTCATCACTTTGTTTGCTGGCCTCTTCATAAGGCAGGAGCGCTGAGCTACTCGTCGCTGGAATATTGAGAAACTCATGTTAGTGAAAGCTTGGCTCTGTAAACTTCTGGTTCTCCTAGTGCTAGCTTTGGAATTAACGTTCGTTTTTGTAAATAGATTTCCCGGACCTGTCCCGAATCATGAACCTTGGATCCCCTGAGTGTGAGGAAGAAATTCCCCGCGAGCAGCGAGAGGAGCTGAGTGAGTGTGGCGATCCCATTTCCACTAACCCAGTGGTTCCCTGGAAACCCCCACCTTCCCCCCACCTGTATATAGAGCACCTGGTGTTGCTTAATAAAGAACTGTGTAACTGTATTCCTCAGTCTGCGCCTGAGTCCGTCCTGCCTGACAACAGTTTCCTTTTACAGCATGGCAATGATCCCAAACACGTAATGCAGTAAAAGCATACACAGATAGAAGAATAAACAACAGAACACTATACCTCAAAATTATAAAAATAAACATTACATTGTTTCAAAAATTGAAGATTTTTTTCACAACTAAAGAACTCGGGCTGGAAATTGATAAGAGTTTAGCCATTCTGATTCCATTATTGATTCAATTCTCTTATCAATTCTCACTGTTGTAATCATGATTGCTAAACAGAATTACAATATTACTATTTTGCAGACTGACTGCCTGCTATGTGGTCAAATGCTTTTGCATGTTGGAGGTATTTCCCCTCTTTGTTGAGATCACTGTTGGGGTCATTTTTTTGGTACTGAAAAGAGTAACGTATTACACATACTATACAGAATATTTTTCTTACAGTAATGCAGTACATTACATCACTGTTTCTATGTAAAATGAACTTAAATATGTTGTCTCACAATTATCATTTAAGAATATAAACCTATCAGTTACAGTCCCACACACCAGCACAATCCCTATCCTAATGAGGACATACATATTATCTTCCTCTTATTAGCTAAGTATGGGCACAAAGCAAAGGAAAACCAGTCTTTGTAACACAGTGTTTCTATTTTAGAAACCTGAACAGGTAGAAACGGAGGATCATCATTTTTTTACCTGTTGAAGTTCAGGGTGTGGCTGCTGGGGTGAGATCAGCATTTGCTCAGATTTAACTTTACTCTGGATTCTTTGCTAGCTTAATGTTAGCATGCTGTCTGTGTGCTGCTTTCTGTCCTGGATCCAGTTTGCACTATGGCATCGTGCTCTCTGAACTACTGGGCACTGGTTCTTGATTCCCATCCGTATATAGTTCCACAAAGGTTAGACTATTTGTACTGTAGACTTATTGAGTTTCAAATCTTAACCAAACAAGAGATTTCCTTAAAATGAGACTTAGACTTGGAGTTTTTTTATTGTCATTGTGCAGTTTCTTGCACAACGAAATTGGGTAGGTGGACCACAAAGGTGCAAAGGTAAGAAGAGAAAACAATATACAACAAGAGGAAAACAAATAAATAAATAAAATAAAATAAAAAGCATATAAGTATACATATATGTGAGTGAAACTATATACATGGAGTATGCGTGAGAAACATTGAAACAGAAACATTATGGGTCTGTATAAAATGATTGGTGTTAATCAAAGTTAGAAATTTGTAGAAACAGTTTACAGAATTTAATTACTTGGCACAATTTAAAATACACCCTTCTTTTTGTTATGTAAAAACAACATTTAAAAATCTGTTGTTATGAGTAAAGATCTTTGGTGAAACCAGCCACCTGGTCCTTCATGCATTTTATCACTTTGATAACTAGACTAAAAGTGGATTTCCTTCTTATTACATTTCCACAAACAAATGACCAAGTTCAAGCACTCACATTCTTTGCGTGTCTGGACAGAGACTTTGTCTGCGAGTGGTAGGACAGATTGTCCTCAACCCAGAGGTTCCTCAGCTATCTTCCTCCAGGCAGTAAGGAGGGAACCTGGAACACATCAAGACAGCCCAAAAAGGAGTGAACACCTCAAGGCAGCAGATCATTCAGCTCTGACAAGCTACCACAAGTGCTCCACTTATAATTCAAGCACTTGCAAGAGCTTATTTAAAGAGGAGACTAACGGGTATTAATTACTCACTGAGGGCTTACTTTATACCAAAACAAATTGGACCAGAACAAGTAAGCACATAATTAATGATATCTCATTTACCTGATTAACATGTTTATATTTAAAGTTTGATTGAGAGTTTAGTAGGGATTTATTATAGGGTCAAGTTTGCCAGCACCTCTGAAATGCTTTCTACTTTAAATATAACTCGGCAAGAGTGTAGTGTTGAATAAATAGAACTCAAATAAAACTATCATTATGTGGGTTAGGAAACATTTTGTAAGGTCAAGGGTTTTTAAAAAAAATAACTGTTAAAACTATGTTAATCACAGGGATTGTCCTTGCAAAACTACACCCAGTTCACAAAATGCTTTAACACTGTTTGAAATAAACAGTGATAAAACACAGAATTTAATGATTTGCAAATCTCATAAACCCATATTTTATTCACAATAAAACAAAAAACATATTAAATGTTTGAAATGAGAAGATACACAATGTTAAAAAATATTAACTCATTTTAAATTAGATTTTTTGTGAAAAGTAAATTGTACTATAAAAAACAATTGGATGAACATTTGAAAACTAATCAGGTTAACCGGCAACAGACTATTGTAATTCATTATCATCAGGATGTCCTAAAAACTCCCTGAGTTTGCTGCATTTGATCCAAAGGCTTAATTTCTTCTTAGG